TACCTCTAGTGTAGCCAGCTACTTGCTGGTAGTCAGGGTTCGTGCCTGCCACTTCCTTACCGCTGCCCTGTCTTTCTGTTGTATCACTGCAAATATTTATAACAATGTTGCTGTTAGTAACTAATAAATCTGAGTATTTGTAAGCCCTGTAGGCTTGTTACAGCCTTAAGCGTAAGGCTTGGAGCCAAGTTCATTTTTTAAAATGTACACTTTATGAGGTGTAACTGTGAAAAAATGAGGACGCTTTTTTAAACCCTGGCATTGCTGATGGTGCCCCGTAGAGGCTGTATGTTTCTTCCAGTGAAGCTGTTCTTGCAACCGCCTTGGCATTTACTTCAGGGCCGGTTTATGAGCCTCCTCAAATAATCTGCCTAGAGTCTGAGCGTCGTACCTTGTATTTGACCAAAAATGGTATTCCTGAGCTCAGTGCCCCACCTGATTCACCAGGCTTGGAATCAGGTGATGTTGGGTTCTTTCCAGAAGTCAAAGCCTTCCTGGGAATATGAAGATCTGCCAGTTCTGAGGATTCTGGGGAAAAAAATAAAAATAAAAGGCCTCTGGCTTTGACGGCCGTTCCCAAAGTAGACAGAACTGGTGTGAGAAGTGGCCACCTGCTGGCACAGGCACGTGATCTTCCGACGTGAGCAGGTTGAAAGGGAAGCAATGCTCGTTTGTGTAAGTCCCACTCGGTTTCCTTAGAAGGTTATTTTTATTACCTTCAGTTATTTCATGTTGGAAACATGGTACAAAGCAGTGACACCTCAGCACCAAGGTGGAGGAAGGTCTTTAGCACAATCCCTTTAGCCCAGGGCCATCCCACAGAAGTATAATACAGGCCACATGTGTAATTTTACATTTTCCAGTAGCCGCATGTAAAAAGAAACAGGTGAGTTTTTTTTAAATTGTGGTAAAATATACATAACTATTTACCATTTTAACCGTTTTTAAGTATAAAATTCAGTGGCCTTTGCAATGTTATATAACCATCACTGCTATTTTCAGAACTTTTTCATCTTCCCAAACTGAAACTCTATACCCATTAAACAGTAACTCCCCAGTTCCCCGGCCCCTTGCCCCTGGTAACCTCTGTTCTACTTTCTGTCTCTATGAACTTGCCTATTCTAGGTACCTCGTATCAGTGGAATCATACAATGCCCTTCTGTGTCTGGCTTATTTCACATATGTTTATTCACAGTTCGTAATGTTTTCAAGGTTCATCCATGTTGTATCATGTATCAGAATTTTGTTCCTTTTTTAAGGCTAATATTCCGTCGCATGTATACACTACATTCATTTGTCCATTCATCTGTTGATGGACTCTTAAGTTGTTTCCATCTTTTGGCTGTTGTAAATAGTGCTGCTGTGATCATGGGTGTCTGAGTCCTTGCTTACAGTTCTTTTGGGTATATACCTAGGAGTGGATTTTCTAGGTCATATGATAATTCTATGCTTAACTTTTTGAGGAACCACCAAAATATTTTCTATGAGGGCTGCACCATTTTACATTTCCACCAGCAATGTGTGAGGGTTCTAATTTCTTCACATCCTTACTAACACTTATTTTCCTTTTTTTTTTTTTCCAAATAATGACCATCCTAATGGGTATGAAGTAGTATCTCATTGTGGTTTTGATTTGCATTTCCCTAACAAATCATGATGTTG